CCAGAAGACAATCCTCTGCCCTGAACCACTTCCTACTGTTTCTGGTGCGTTGTTCAGCTCTTGGTTGTTGCTCAGAAGGGCAGACTGAGGTTGTTGCTGTGTCTGCTGCTGCCAGGGTTGCTGTTCCTGTGGCAGCTGGTGCTGTAGGGGCTGATCAGGAGCTTTGGCCTGAGCTCCTTCCCCTCTAGTGGTCCACCCTGACTGAGTGGCTCCCTGGGCTTTTATACCCCGCCTCTCTCTCGAGCATGCCTAGTGGTGCCGTGGGAATGAGGGGCCTTTTCAGCCAGCTGTGCCAGGCAACCCCCTGCTCTTCAGTGTGGGGCAGATATACCCCGTCATAGTGCCCAGTTGCTAAGTTTCAGAGTAGTTAAATGAGCTAATGAAAATGTTCAACTCGTTTTTCTCTTTTTTTGCTTTGGTATAAACAAATAATTGAAGATGTCCTCCAAAAGTAAACACCAGGAAGCCTCAAAAGATGCATCTTTCCTGGAGCACATAATTGAGTATGTCCTATCACTCTCACTGGCTAGCCCAAGCAAGTCAGTGCATTTTGGGGGAAGGAGGCAGCTCTAAGCTAAGATAACCAAGAATTTGGAAGCCATCCCCTCGAGTGGCACCTGAAAGCATAAAGAGAGTTGTTACATTTGTGGAAAATTTTGTGTAATGCAATCCACTGACATTTTGTAGAATAGAATTGCTGTCTGAATTCTGTAGATATTACTTGTATTTCCCCAATGATACTCACACTGAGACTCGGGAGCCATAAGCAGTTCTTTAATTTGTCTCATGCAGCCCGTTGCAACACGGAAAATAATGAAGATGCTTTTACTATGTTGTTAACCCATTTTAGTTGATAAAATAATACTTGATGAGTCATTTTGCTGTGACAATGATTACACACACAGACTCTAAATATTTCAACTGTTACGCTCTTTAAATATGAATTTATAGTACTACTAGGGGGTTGTGACCTGTGCTTGCTGTGCTCACCAACCCCCATTCCCCTCCTCTGGCCCCTTTTTGCAGCCAGAGAGCCTGATGACATCATTCTGTCGTGTGGCAGGAAAAATGTTTTTATACATAGAGAAAGATAGTAAATAAAACTATGAGTTATCCATACTGTCACTGTTTTGGGTAATGTTGATTGCTAATTTGGTTCCCGAACAACTGAATATCACTGAATTGGGGAACTAGCTTCATATCAGTCTCTTATTAAGTTCTAACTGCTTATTTTCACTGTTAGTGTCCTCTGGTATAAAAGATCTTTTATTTCATAGACTGTATGTTTAACATCTAATCTTATAGATTTTAAAAAATAAAGAAATAATGCATTTGATGTTATCCATTAATAGAACTTTAAGAGCAAAACACCTCATAGTTTTAGCTAACACCTGATTTTAAAAGCCTACTTCTAACTTACCTAATGAATTTTTCTTTATTTTATGCAAGTTCTATGCTAATTAAACTGGTGTCTTTCTAGGTAATGATTAATAATGGCTTTACCCCAGATAAAGAAGACTATGAATTTTGTGCTACAGTGGAAAATATGATACTACCATCAGAAGGGTACTTTGGAATATCTGCAGCAACGGGGGGGCTTGCAGGTAATATTTTTCACTGTGTTTAAGTTTGAGGTCCATTTGATGAGCTGTGATTTAAAAGGCTTCAATAAATTATTACTTGGAAACTGACACTTATGTTAAAATTGGGCTAGTTGTAAGTGACTAAATGTTGAAACAGGGTTGGTATGGAATGATGGTGGCCAGCTTGAAAGTAAGAGTCTAAACTGTGCTGGCCGTCATAGCTGTTTGGATTGTATGAAATAAGTTGCTTATTGCTCCCTAGTGCCTATTGATCAACTAGCCAAGCTGCAAAGTCATCACCATCATTAGCATTACATGGAATGCTTGTTGGTGACCTACTGTCCCTACAGATAAAGACTGCAGATTATCAGGACAGTCTGAAAAACCTTTCATGACTGCTGTTTCTGCTGCATGTTTTATGTATGTGAAATCATGAGAAGTGGAATGAATGTTGCCAACCAATGGACTATTATAGCTGCCTTGACTGTAATTTCTGACCACATAATATAGATGGAGAAGTCATGACTTTCCCCCAACCCACCTTTTATGCTTTGGCCTATTTCTGGCTAGAGCAGAGACTCCTTTAACTGTATGGACAAGGACACCACCTTGTGCACCTGCTCTGCCTGTGCCACCTCCATTCCTTGTTCCCTGTGCAGTAGGGATGTTAACATGTACCTGAGTACACAGTTAACTGCTGACACAGAGGCAGCAGCTAGGAGGGGAAGGGGAGAACAGAAGCAGGTGCTCACAGGGAGCTGTCTTAAAAGCTAGCTCTTTGTGAGCACTAGCTCCTGCTTTCACCCCCTCTCCCCATATTTAAACACTGAAAAATTCAATGGTTACTCATTTACACAAATACATGCATTTCAGTATCTCTACTGTGCAGTCCCACTGCCCACACTGCATTTGGATAAATTTTACAGTATCAGAGTATTAATTGAACACCATTCACATGTACTAACTTCACATAGAAAAAAATCTTCCTAAAAACAAACACTGTTTCTTCTTTTAGGCTTGCCATTTTCAACTTGGCAGTTTCATCCTAAACAAAACAAAGGAGTATTAGAATATTTTTAATCCAGACTGTATTTCCCATAATATATGGATGTTTGGTTTGGGGGTTGGCAAGATGGGGGCTCAGCAGGACACAGAAGAGTGGAAGGAAAGTTATCTAACACATTAATTTGTCCTTATAACTTTTTCAAATACTGTATAGAAGACATTTCTTACTTGCTCTGTCTTTGATGTGTCATTCATCTAGGCTACAAATCCAAGTGACCAACTAATGAGAGCTGAGAGTACACTGTTGATGGAACCCCCCCCCCCCGTCAAAAATAAAAGGCTAGAATTGTATTGTAGTAAATCAGAAACTTCCACAATAAATTCCAAAATGTTAGGGAAAATATTTCGTAACTAGTAGTAATAATTTAATTTGATATATTTCCTTTTTATTCAGATGACCATGATGTATTGTCATTCCTGACTTTCCAGTTGACTGAACCTGGGAAAGAAGCAGTAAGCATATTTATTCACAAGAAAACATTAATTTTAGAGATGTCCATGTGCTCATCTTGTGGCTGGGAGTCAATTAAAATGTCAGCACTGACTCATCTCATTTTGATTTTTTTTTTCTTTCAAAATGTTGATGTGGGTATACAGTTTAATATCTTGGAGAAATGAAACTATACAATGTAATATTTGAGCAGTAAAATATGGAAATCTTATATTAGACTTTTTGAAAGGGCACTGGATTAAACTGCATAGTTTTAAAAACAAAATATACCGCCTTTTGTCATCATATTAAAAGTGAAAATTTAAAAAATGTATTTTGCACTATTTCTCTTTCCTGGAAAATGCTTCACCAGTTTCACTTTCTACTTCATGTGGCTCTTTATTGCTGTAGTATTTCTTCACAATGTTGATTGCTCATAGTAGACAGTCTGATGTTTCTAATTTAAAAAAAAACAAACCACAAACACAGTAGGAAAAACTGAAGTGGTAGGAATCACAATAGGGATGTATTGTCTCTTGTAATATCAACTTTGACACTGAATTCTGTGTTTCCATAAGTGTAGATCTTATAGCATGAAGCTTGTTTGTTTTTGCCTCAGAATGTGAGCAAATCTTGACAAAAGCTGCTGGGAGATGAGATTTCTTGGAAAGAGGTCAGAAAATTGTGAGCATTTCTACTTATATATACATTTTTTTATAAAATTGTTTTGTTTTAAAGCCTACCCCAGATGCAGAAATTCCTGAGAAGGATAAAGAAAAATATCAAGAGGAGTTTGAGCATTTTCAACAAGAACTGGATAAAAAGAAGGAAGAATTTCAGAAGGATCATCCTGATATGCAAGGGCAGCCAGGCAAGTTCAATTAACAAATTATTAGTTGTCAGGGAGAACACATAATTAAACTCAAAGATGATGGTATGCATGTTTTGTGATTACATTAGCTGTGCCAATATATTTAGGACTGGAGCTTAGTCCCTTATAAATCCTGAGCTCCCCTAGTGCCCTGTATGTCAATTTCTTCATCCAGAAGTTCTTGAAACCTCTCTCTACCAGGGGATTGCTGAAGTATTAACAGACGTGTATGATATACATTGGTAACTGAAACAAGCAAATTGAAGTCTATGTGCCTGTGTGGGGATGGGTGGTTAGGTGGCCCTTTGAAAGGGCTGGAAATTTTTTTTGACAGTTTCTTGAAAATATATTGAGAACTAATCTCTTCTGATCTGAAGGTAAGGAGCCAGGCAAATGTTTTCTGTGGATCCCCTTTGTATCTATGATGACATGGTGGTTAATGCAGTAATTCAACAGTCCATCCCTATTTGGTAAAGCCTTTGAATATATGTTTAACTTCAAGCAGATATTTGAGTCCTATTAACTTTTACTCTGCAGAAATAACAATCACTGAAATATTAAAAAATAAAAGTAACTCATGTTAACCAAGGATTAGATTTGAAATATATGGTCTAAGTATATTGTATACCATACTTTTAGTGCAATAGTAATCAATCTGAGAGTCAAAACCCCAAATTGGGTGACAACTCCATTATAAAGGGGTCACTAGTGCTTTGGCCTGGGGCAGCAGAACTCAGATAGGATCAGGGGACCGAAGATTGAGCCCAAGGTTGTATAGTAATTTTTTGTTGTCAAAGGGGGTTGCGGTGCAATGAAGTTTGAGAACCCCTGCTCTAACAAATAGGATTACCAAATTATTAGTGTCATGGTATTTAAATATAAGTACCTAACAGTAGGGTTCTAAACTCATACTTAAAGGATCCTATGCCTGTAGCTCTAAGGGACTTAAATCCGTATTTAGGCATCTCAGTATAAATTACCTGAATTAAGACTAGCTCATTCACAAATCTTATTTAACACTGAGTTTTTAAAATGTTAACCCCAGCAGCAGACCTCATATAGTTATCTGACTACCGTGCCCCACACTTTGCATTCCTCCACCAATGCCCCAGTCCACTGTATCAAGCTCAAGCTTCTTGTCTTCACTTTTAATACTCTTTAACATTTTAGCCTCATCTTGCCTTTCAAACAGACTTTTTTTATTGCACAGTTTACTTCAGCCTTTGCTCATGAATGCTGGCTTTGATTGCTTTTCTCCCATTCCTGCAGTGCTTGAGAATAACTGTCAAAATTTAGAAAGCAATCTTTTTTTATCTTACATTTTTCCTTTTTAAAATGTACTTTTATGATTATTCATTCAAATCGCCCTTCATTGACAATGGTTAGGCTGGTGACTACTGAGAACACTGACTACTAGTTTGTGCGAACTTGACTATCCATATTACTACCTGCCCTCCTTGCATATTGTCTAATCTCAGCTTGATCTTTCTGGAGCAGGGACTGTTTTTGATGGGGTTTTTCTTTTGTTTTTGTTTATGGTGACTAAATACCAAAGGGTTTCTAATCCTAGGCTGTGTTCTCTAGGTGCTTGAAGCATTAAAGAGAATTTTCATAACCTTGAGGTATTTTGGGGGGTTAGGTGAAAAGAGAAAGTTTATGATATATGAAGGTACATGCACACATTTGACTATCGGAGGAACTATAATTAACTTATTTTTCTTTGGTTAGCGGATGATCTATTTGAAACTGTAAGTGATCGTGAACTGAGACAAGTCTTTGAAGGGCAGAATCGAATTCACCTTGAAATCAAACAGCTTAATAGGCAACTGGACATGATTCTTGATGAGCAGAGGAGGTATGTCACAGCAGTAACAGAAGAGATTACCAAAAGAGGAGCTGGTATTCCAGGCCAACAAGGACAGGTGAATTCAAATGTGCATCACTATTTAATATGTAGACATGAATTCAAACATATAATTACTTTACTTTTTTTCTGCATATGTTGCTCTATATTGTGGTATTGATCATTTTTTGTGGTTTGTTTTTCAGGTCTCCCAACAAGAACTTGATGCTATTGTGAAAACTCAAGAGGAGGTACTCAGACAAGTGAATGAAATGAAGTAAGAGTGTGTCCTTTATTGTCTTGCTGTGAAGACCTGATTCAGGTCTCTTACACTGGTTTTATAAAGATCTTACTTGATTGTAATTCTTTCTGTTTTAAACCTGTGTAGGTCAGGTCAAACTCAAAACCTGAAATAAATTGTACATGAATGTTCAGGGACTTTTAGACAATAGTTAGGTAAACCTCTTTACACATTTTTTGCATGTAAATGAAGTATTAAGATTTCAGATGTTACTCTGACAATATGAAGTTAAAGGGAAATCATAAGATGGCATAGTCTAGTCAATTTTTTTAAAAGGTTTCAGGTTCCTGTACTCTGAGTCCCAGTATCATTTTTTCTGGTTTTACAATCTTGTTTTTCCTGTGGCTCTTCTGTTCTTAAGAGTTAACATCTTCAATGGCTCATTAAGGAAAAGGAGCCACAATAACTGAGAAACTGTGGAGGGAAACATTGAAAATCACTTTTGAGGAGTGCTATAAAAGTATTTTCATAGCATTTGTGCTTCCCAGGCAAATAACTTTTGCCATAATTGAGCCTTTGTGAACTTATGGAATCATATCCTTTCTGTGATTATACAGTATTCTTCCATGGATATAAAATGCACATTATAAATAAACTGAAAGACAATATACTTTCTTTGATGTTTTAGTCGCCACCTAAAATTACTGTTTGTATCACAGTAGGTTGAAATTCAGACAGATTTTGTTTAATTGGTAGTTCTATATTAGAAGTTTATTGAAATGCAGGTAACTTTTTATTTGGTTGATATTGCTCCAATCCTATAAGCCTCTTCATTTTGGCTCTGAACATTATGGCTACGTCTACACTGCACGATTATTTTGGAATAAGCTATTCCAGAAGAAATATTCTGAAATAGCTTATTTCGAAATGGCACGTCTACACTACAGGGAAGCCTGAAAATTAGTCTGAGGCAGACTTCCCTAATGTGGACACACTTGAGCCCAGGAAGCACAGAGGAGTAATTACTTTCAATGGCCAAAGAGAGGAGCTATTTTCAGATAGTAGCAGTGGAGTGTCTACACTACTGCTATTCCAATATAGCTAATTCAGAAGAGGCGTTATTCCTCATGCAATGAGACTTACAAACACCAAAATAAGCCACCAGTTGTTTCAAAATTATTTTGAAATGGGCTAATTGTATAGATGCTTGCATTGTTATTTCAGAATACCAGCTGTTGTTATTTCAGAACACTGCTGTGTAGATGTGTCCTCTGCAAATAGACTTTTTGTTCACACTATTAATATTGTATCATTTTTTATTGCTGCTATTTAAGAACATAAAAATGGTCATACTGGGTTAGAACAGTGGTCTATATAGGCTAGTATCATGTCTTCCAGCAGTGGCCAGATGCTTCAGAGGGATTGAATAGAACAGAGCAATTTATACAGCCTCTCATCCAGTCCCAATTTCTATCAGTAATATAAAGTAATATAAACCTGGCTCCAGTTTTGTGTATGGGGCCCTCTTGAAAATTCTAGCCTAAATTACAAAGAAACCCTATATAAGGAAAAAATCTAATGCTTTCAATGCAAAAAGTTAGGAAAATATTATCCATGGTAATTTGCTCTAACTATAGTGTTCTACCATACCGTATCTGGTGCCATGCTGCACATTAAATACAGAATTGTTAACTATAACTTCAAATGTATCGAGTTCTTTATGTGTCATGTCATTGTAGTAACATGTTTCTTATCTCCTGGGTTTTGGTGGAAGATGTGTTTAACAATCTTGCAGCTAGAAAAAATATTTGTATTTCAGTAACTGCACTTCAAAATAGATGTATTGTGCAACTCAGCATGTATAGCAGTTCCAAAGACACATGCAGAGGATTCATTTAACTTGTTTATATACATTTCTAAAATGATAAACTTATGTGGCAAATTGTTGTATAGAATGAATTTATCAATTAGCACACCAAAGAGTGTTATATAGCAAAATAAATGATGTTAGAGGGAGAGCAGGGCAAAAAGATCTTGGAAAATTGGTATTTTTTTGAAAAATGTTGTTGAGTTCAACCCAAAACTACTTGTGACTGTATGGTGAGTTTGACTTAATAGTTTTCAGTGAACCAAAAAAATCAAGCCATAAAAATTTCAAAATAAGATGTCAAAAATGGAGAACTAGCTTCAGAAAATGACAGGAGAATAACCACCTTTTTCGTAATTTTTATCCCAGCAAGTAAGGTGCTCACTTGGGATTTGGGAGACCCAGGTTCTATTTCTCCCTCTTTGCCTGATGTGGAGAAGGGATTTAAAACTGGATCTCCCAAACCGGGGCAGCGCCATAACCACTGGATTTATGTCATATTTTGGTATGTACCTTTCTCAGTCTGCCCTGTTGAAGTTCTGCTTTTTATTTTTTTTTTTAAATAAGTGAGGTAGGGGCTTGAACTTAGGTCTCCTACATCTTGAGTGAGTGATCTAACACCTGTGTTACAGTCGTTCTGTCTTTCACTGGTCTAGGGTCTGTTCAATGTCATGAATTACTATTGTCTCTGGGCTGGGAAAAGAGTGAGACTTACTCTGTAGCCTGTTAGCATACCTGGGATATAAGGGACCCTGGTTCAAATCCCTACTCCAAGAACTATTTATAAAAAGGGGACCACTTCAACAGGTGAGATTGAGAGAGACCAAAATAATGTATATTTAAAAATCTCTTCTCAGTTGCATATTGGCACATATCTATTCTTACTTCAACCTTTTGCAAACAGAAATTATCACATACAGCCTCTTCCCGACTTACGAACTGGTTACGGACCAAGCAATTGGTCATAACTCAGTTCGTTCGTAAGTCGGACCCCATAGAGTTAATGTTCGTAAGCGCGGATCGTGTTCATAACTCAGAGTCCACCATTTACGACAGCTTCGGTCGTAACTGCGAATGGTCATAAGTCGACCGTTCGAAACTCAGGGGCGGCTGTAAGTTCTTTGGTAGTAGCTTTTAGCTTAAGTATTAATAAGATTAATTGATTTTAATATTGGGAATTTTCTGAAAGGCATGTTTATACGTTGTATTCCAAGTGCTTCACAATTGTATAATGTAATTACTTTAACTTTGTATTCACAGAAGTTAAAACCTTTATCTTTTGTAAAAATTTTGCAAGCAACTTTATGCTAGAATTATACACAATTATATTTTGCCAGTATTAATAGTTCAACAGAGAAGTCTTGTAATTCATTTAAGTAGGTCAGGTTTTTTCTAGAATGAAGATTAGAATACTTACATTTTCACTCTTGTTCTTCAAGGGAAGCTTTTATTTTAATATTCTTGACCAATCTTTATGCCAAGCCGGCAAATTAAATTTTCTTGTTAACATTGGGTAGTCTGTCCTTTCAGTGACTACTTACTAGGTATGCATTTGCGTAACATCTTAATATTTTCTGCTTAGATTAAAGAAGTGTCTTATGCTATAGATAAGGAAATAACAAAAATGAACAGCCCACTGCTGCTTTACTGGTCATCCCTGGAGGAAAAGGACTTATTGTCAAAGTAATTTTCTTGTCAAGATTTGTAGATTTCTTAATCATCTGATTACAGAAGAATCTTTGCCAGCATAGACAATAGCAACAATCAACATGTTGTCTTTTGAAGGAACAACATAATTTAAATTTGACATGGCCCACATTTATTTAGAGAACTTAATATCATGTTTTAATAACAAAAATGGATCATAGTTAATTTCTTTTCTAATCTTATCCCAGCATGTATTTTTCATGCTAGAAGTCAGTTGTTGATTTTAGATGTCGAACATCCACTCTTGTAAAGTCATTTTATATATAATAGACTGAAATGATTGTAAAAATCATTGAAGTGTATTTGTACAGATATAATTATAAACAACAATTCTTAGGTAATGGTCACCATAGCTTAGATTAATAAGCAACATTATTTCCTAAATATATGCAGTCTGTTTTAGAGCAAAGATTTACAGAAGTAATTCAAACAAAGGCCACAAATTTACTTCTAATTGTGATGATAAAAGAAAACTGGGGAGCAGGGACATTGGATAAAAAGTTCACTAATCTTACTTACATATAAAGTTTGTGTCACATTCAAAGTCTTATTTAGGCTTGGAAGGATTAGATTTTTTTATAAGTAAATGTCTGTAAATGACTATTTTACCACACGCAATCTGATAATTTCTGTTCAAATTTTGGATGCTTATACTTTGACATTTTTTTTTCTTTTACAGAATTTCAGAAATAATAAATTGTAATAAGGTTCTGAATTTTGTATGAAAATGGCTTAACAGTTCTTTCTGGTATGTGGAATTGTATACATTGGCGGAAGTTGAGCCAAACTGTAAAGCCCTAACTCTTCAAAACATACAGAAAGTTGTCTAGCTGTCTTGTCTGAAACAATGGAAAGTTTAAAGTAAATTAAATCCAAGACACAAATTTTGATTATTCCGTTAACAATGAAGGGATTAGCATTCACATGATAAATGTTTTAGCTGTAGACTATAATCCTCTTTGCATCTGAAAAGAAGCATAGCAATAGGGAATAATTATACAAACATATTGATAGAAGAACATGCATGTTCTATTCATTGATTAGTTTAGATCTCCAACAGTACCAGTTATGGAGTTTCAACTTTTTTGTGGATTTAATTTGATTTGTTGTAATAACAAAATGAATTCATATGAAAACAGTATTAAGTATTACAGCAGTATATATGGAAATGAGTTTCTCATATGAAAGGTAATCATGGAACATGGATGACCCTAAATCTTTTCTTATCCCTAAAGCCTCTTCTTTATTTCTTACATGACTGCATTATTTTTTGGGAGGAACAGCTTTTAGTTTCTTTAAAAGATGGCATTATACCATGTTTATCCTAAAGCCTTGGTCAGATCCAGAGATTCAAAACATTTGTTTGGGACTTCATCAAAAAATAAGCCAAAGCAGGTGCTTAGTAAAAGAATATTCATCACAGAGCTGATGTTCCTTTTACTATAACTATCAAAATTGAGATTTTTCTCTGAGTACATTTTTAAAAGAGTTACTTTGAAAAGTAAGTGCTTCTTCACAGATTCATGGAAGCAGTAAAAAAAAAAAAAAAGTGTCCGACCTTTGTTTGTAATATGTTAAATTGAAACTAATCTTAATAGGTTATAAATATAGCATGTATTCAAGAAGGAACCTTTATGAAATTGTCTTATGCTGAAACAAGCGGTATTTTTGTTTTCAGAAATTCCATGGTTGACAGTCTGAGGTTGGTCAGTGGAATTCAACACCCTGGGTCTGCAGGAGGAGTCTATGAAACAACTCAGCACTTCAATGATATCAAAGAACATCTTCATGTAGTAAAGAGGGACATTGAGCATTTAGTACAGCGAAATATGGTAATTCGTATTCTTGTATAAAGAATGACTGCAAAAATTCAGCATATGGCTATTAGTCAAATGTTGGCGAAAAGTCCGCATGTAATTTACTGAACAATCTTTCATTAAGCTTCTCTACTAAAACTGTTTTGCCTTAACTATATGATCAGTATTTTGATAAGGTAAGCATGAAAGGGCATAAATTTAACCACTTCCTTAATTAGGAATCACATTTATAATGTGCATACAATTCTTTCATTCATGTAAGTAGTCAGTTATATACACAACTGAGTATGCACAGTTCTCCGTGTTTGTTGTAATTACACACTCAAATTAAACACTAGATTTTTTTCAAATTGTATGAAGAGCACCGACAGTAATTGTCATAACTAATAATAATTAGCAAAAACCTTTTATTATAAAGATTTATTATGTGCATAAGGGCACATACACCATTTTTATCATACTTACAAAGCAAGAGTGGCAGTAATTTTAAAAACCCCAGCTGTAAGAAGTTTCTTGGCAGTTGCTGTCAAATACTGCTTATTAGTTGCATTAGTATTATTCTTTTAATTAACCTGAAATTTATAACCTGTGGGATCACTCAATCTTGGTGTGTTTATTTTTTTTAATGGAGTGTTTTCCTTGTAAGCTGGGAACATTGATTCAAGTAACTTCCAATTTGTCCATCTAATGTAACTGAGTGTGAATGCATCTCAGTTATTTTTTGGTCATACTATATTTAACTTTTGTATTTACAAAGCAAAAGTGCCTTGAACTTCTGGAAAAGTGAAAGAAAAAGTCAGCAACTTTTTGTCCCACAACCTGCTGTGTTCCTCTAACAATGGCACATGATTTTTATTCTCACCAGTTTCTGAGATGATAAATAACTGACTTCTGCATGTGTTTCAGTAATAACATCTGCGGACTTCCCAGCTGCCCCCGTCCAAGCATGTCCATGTGCTTTCACATGGAGAGTGTTTATACGGCTCAGGCATTCAACACTTCCCCAACTACAGTCCACATTAGATTTTGCCCCTTCTCATCCTTGAGCTCAAATGGCTTATGAGTCCTGCAAGAAACAATTTTTTAAAATTGTCATGTCATATAACTAAAAATACATCCTTGCACTCCCAGCCTTCAGTCCATTCAGGTCTCAGACACAAAAATTAATATGAAGTTACCTCTTGAATCTCCTGCCACACAGTCCTCCTTTTCTCCTGTTCTTTCTGTAAACATGGATATACAGCTTTCTTTTGAAAACTTTGTTCTTTTTAAAATAGCAGTTTTAAAAATGCAGAAAGATGCCGACTCAATTATCTTAACAAATTTTTGCTTTCTAGCCATCAAATGAGAAACCAAAGTGTCCAGAATTGCCACCATTTCCATCATGCCTATCTACAACTCACTTCTTCATGTTTGTAGCCGTTCAGACAGTGTTATTCATTGGTTATATCATGTATAGGTAAGTTACTCTTAAAAAGATTGATAGATGTCTTTAGGAATTTGTAATATTAAGTACAAGTTTAAGTGACATGATCATAGTAATCATTGTTTTGAAAACAAACTTGTATTATGTTAGATTGTTAAAATATTTTTTTATATATTAGCACACACTATCTATTTTCTATTCCAGGCTGACACATGAAAATCATAGTCAGCTTCCTCTTCAGTGTAATAACCCTTAACACAGTTCTACATGGGTAATCTCAAATATGGCATGAGGCTCTTTTTAACTATTAAACTTTCTCACAATGCATCACTTCAAACACTTCTATAAATTGGGGCTTTTCTAAAATGTGGGATTTTAGAAAAGAGGATGGGTTTTGTTTTTTATAAAACCTACATTTTGGTTGAATGTTCTTTTAACCAGTTGGATAATGTCATGCTTGCAATATTATTGAGCTTTATTGGAAGAAAATAGTGCTTACATAACAGTAGCTTTATTACTTAATGAAATCAGTTTTATGAGCATTCCTTTTTTTTTTCTTAAGGAGTCAGCAAGAAGCAGCAGCCAAAAAGTTCTTTTGATGACCTATTCCTGTTGTGTGTATGTGCTTTTGCAGTATGTATGCACAGAATATTACATAAGTCTGTAAATGAGGGAAATTCTAGTCTTTAAAATGCTTCAATATTGTAAATTATTGAATTTTTGCTAAACAAAATAAGTTCTTGTTTAAAATGTTAATATTGTGGTTAAAAACAGACCTTAGAGCAATGGCGCAAGTACAATTGAAAACTGTGGGCCTCGGGTTTTTTTAATGGTTTCTGGTAAATACTGGGACTGACCATGAGCTATCAATAAATTTCCATCATCAAGAATTGGGGCAGAAATATACATTTAAGCATTCTGACACACGAGACTTCTTTTAAATAAAAAAACTACATTCCTCTAAATTGGAGTGAAGAAAAAATGTTATAAGTATTCTGTTTGCCATTTGGATTTCAGTTTGGCAATTAGAGACTTGTAGATCTAAATTTCACAGGAGTTTGTAGAAATAACTGTGTCATGTATGGACCCTGAAAGACAAAGGCCTTAATAACAATCTGACTAGTGGCAGCTGAAGTGTAGAACAAAGGCTTTCTATTAAGAACAAGCAAACAATGGCTTGTCTCTTTTGAGACAATGGAGAAAGAAATATCTTCTAATAATGTAGAGGTCTTTTAAGCAGTTGTGTGAGGAGTGTTAGGATTATAGTAGTTTCATGACTTACCATAGTTTTGTGAAGTATTTAATGGAACCTTTCCAACAAAGAAATAATAATGAGGCTATTTCTTTAAACTTCAGTTGAGATAAGGGCATATTTAGATTGCCCTATGCCTTTGTTTTATAAGTTATGTCATGAACCTAATACAAATACCACAGTGGGCACCAAGTTAATATTTTACATAGTAAACATTGAAAACCAGGAGTTTTTGTGTGCACCTTAACTACTTCCTCACAACCCATGTTTTGCTGTTAAGTCCTGCAACAATTATTGAACCAGTATTGTGTAAATTAACTAAATGTTCAGTCTGTTGGATTTGAAGATTGCTTAATATTGTCTATTATGTGAACATTGCATTCGGGGACAGGAGGGAATGGAACAGATGCTCAAATTAGTAATAAGAAAAGGATTCACTCTACTTTGTTTACATATCCATAGTAACCTGTTCTCAAATAACTCTCCTACAGAGCTAAAACTATTTCCAAATTTCTGCAAGGCACATGTTGAAAAATGGACATTGGAACGGTTTATTTTTAATTACAGAATTTGTTTGTCTTGATACCTGCAGAAATTGTCCAGAACTTAATGTATGCAATTTTGACTCCTTTGGAGAAAGCAACACATGCTGTCGAGTTCAATGTCACGAAGAAGCATTTGTTAGTATTGTGCCTGAGATTTTGGAGAGAAGAAATCTATGCAATATATTTTTGTTACTTAAAAATTAAACTATCCTATACATATGGATGTCTATTCTATACCAGTGAAGTGTAATTAGATCCCTCCCACATCTATTTGGATAAGTGAAGAATGTGATACACTGTAAATGGTATAGTTTATAAATTTACTTAAATTATGGGAAAGCTTTTTTGCTGTACCGATAGGAGAAACTGCTGTCCCAAACTAGATAGATAAAAGGGTTCTGACATTAATTTGTCTTTAAAAAAGTAGACTAACACACGGCAGCAATTAAACTGCCCTCTTCTCTCACACCAACAAGTATTTACAGATGCCTTGCGTTAAACTAAATTAATGAAGAAAATGACAGTGTTTTATCAGACTCTTGTAGTTCATTATCTTTCCAACAATGTACAGTATTATTTTTTTCTGCTCTGGTGCTGGTACTTGGTCAAACAAAATCTCCTCTCTCTCAAACTATTTATCTGTCATGATACTACTTATGATGAAAGAATAGATCTCATGGCCCTAACTTTCCAGAATACATTTGGTAAAATGATGTACAGCTCTTAAACATCTTCTAAGTAATACATTCTTGTTTCTCCATTTTGTGACTTTCAATGATTATTTTTTTCAATTTGAAAATTAAAATGTTGAAGCAACCAGTGGAATTGTATCTTCTGTTGGGAAGAGGAAAACACTGGGGTCACTGTGTGCAATTTTTGAACTAGCTCACTGTCTAAAATTACATCTACGCCATGTTAAATGAAAGTGTGTTTATACTGCTGATGAACCTGATCCCATAGGATATAGTGGCATTTTGCCATTAACTTCTGTGGAAACAGAAGGACCAAAACATGTAATTTTCAAAAGGGAATGATCTTTCTAAGCTACTAATTCTAGTGGTGAAAACAGTAATTCATAAGCTATCCTTGCTACTTGTTAAGGGGTGGAAACTATAAAACATCTTGGTAATTACCTGACCTTACTCTTATTCCTATCATGACTTTTAAATTATAGGTTTTTTGTAAGACCTTTGTTAGCCAAAATACTGTTTCATAAGTGCCACTAAGTGTTGCAATGTTGTGTGCAAGCACACGTGCTTTTCTCAAATAGCAATTGAGGTGTACAGAGATGAGAGAACTTGGAATCTAATTTTAACAGTTTGAGGGGCAAATCAGCCTGGTCAGAGTCTTAGACTTGAGCATTGCATGATAGGTGGCTTATCAAATTAAATTTGGAAATGGAAGGAGAATTTAAACACCATGGTGAAGAGTACAGTAACTAAATAGTTATCCAAGCCCTTCAAGCAAAACGCAAAATCATTGTTCTTTAAATTGACTGTTTCCTGTTTGAGATACTGACTTGTATTGGTGTATCAATTACTGTAACACTGAAAAGGTTGTCCATCTGTTTTGGAAGTGAAGTACATAAACCTTATTTGAATAAAGATACATATTTTAGTAAACGTTTTTCCCCTCTTTTAATTTGGTTTAGCAGTCGATGAAGTCACTTCAAAATGTAATCTATTCATCATGGTACCAGGTTGCATAATGTCAGAATTTCATAGGTAGGCAAACTAAAAATTCTCCAACTGCAGTTGCTGCTTCACAGAGATTGGATGCTTTCTGGAATTAGGGGCTCGGTGTCTTTAACTCACTCATGATCAGCATTTCACTGTATCAAACACTTAGTGCTTGTTGCCCTGGGGACTGCAATTCCACTGCTTTCTGTCTCTTGGTTTAATAATGGAAAATGCTTGCAATGGAAATTAACGACACTAACTCCAGTATAAATTCATTTTATGGAAAGGAACTAATATCCTTTTTATTTTGTTAGCTATAGCTACACATCTTAACAACTGACTACTCGCAATCTACTACGATCTGCCACTGGTTACAATAGTAGAGTTAAACAACAATTTAGGATTGAATATGGCTTTTCTGCATTAGCTAAGCATTTCTGTATTCACTTAAATCAGTGTAACTTCACTGCCATAACATTAGTATCAGTGAGATTGGAGTTTCTTGTTGCTTGTCTGTCACATTTAAGATATGAGGTAAGGAGAATGATGTGGAGTGGTGTGCAGGGTGCCTATGTTTATTGTGCCTATGTTTACATCACACCCAGTTGTGCATCTTAAGTTGACAGTTTTTGGCCCTAGAAGTGTTTTTTTTCATTAAGCTTCACAACAAACATCTCTTTAAAAGATGTTCAAACAGTTCACATCTCTCAGCTGCTTCATTCTGCCAAAATCAAAGATCTCTTCTACCCTAAAGAGTCCTACTTCCTCTCTACCTGTATAGTTATGTGGCTGTGGATAAAATGGTACAAACCTCCCTAGTGCAAGTGTAGCTATGCTGGTATAAATGAGTTTTATACCATTATAACTATTCCTGTGTATGAGAGGGACTCACTGAACCCTCATTAAATGGTTTTATACAGGTGTAGTGGTGTCTTGCACTGGTATGAAAAATTCCATCCTAACATAGTTATAGTGGTACCATTTCCAAGTATAAATGGCTCCAAAGTTCACACTGGCTAGCAAATATTTTAAGCTATGTCTATATTACAGGCTTCTGTGAGTAGCTACTTTTGGATGTGAAGAGCTGTGATTCCTTGTTCAGTATAGTGTGCTGGCAGAAGTCTCCAGTATAAATGCAGTTTTACCACCATAAAATCTCCAGTATAAAAGCTGTGCTTTTACCAGCATAGTGTGTTTCACTTAGTGGGGGATGGTTTTGTTTTTCTGATCCAAATAGCTTTGCTGGAATAACTGTGTCCATACTAGGAGTCCTTTGCCAGCATAGTATATTAGCAAAGTGCTCCTTGTGTGGACATGGCCTAAGGAGGAGATTCTTTACAACCTTAAGGCTAGGGGAAGGGGAAGATGTAAATGAAAGTTTGCACTCCTTAGCCACTGAATCTTATCAAAAGCGCTGGGCTGCAGGTTTAGAATTTTATCTATTATATATTTGAGAGAGTTTGTCTGTTCAAGAACTCCTCCTAAACAGTAAGAGCTAGGACCACCAAATTCAGATTCCTTTTCTCATTACTTAAAGCAGGGATGGTTAACCAAGGGCCTGGTGGCTGGATGTGGCTACCAGCTTCCCTGGATCCAGCCCCCAGCATTGGGAAGCCTGCATTGGCGCTCCAGTCCCACTGCAGGGGGGACCTCTAGGGGACCCCTAGGCTCTGGTGTGTGCAGGGAATATGGAGAGTCTTTTAGCTTCTGTCGGGGGGCCACATCAATAAGCGTTTGGGGTTTTTTGTTTTTTTCTTGGGTGACTTTTTTTTTCTGTGGGTCAGTGGCCGCTGACCCCCAAAAACATTTCTCATCCCTGGCTTAAAGCAAGGTAAGGGTTTGATTGTGCCAGGGTAATGGTATGTGCCTGGAATGGGATTTCTTCTGATAAAACCATTCAGAAAAGAGACAATCGCCAGGCAGGTGAAAGGGGTTGGCCGGGAGCGCATTCCTCTCTGTTCAGGACTGCCCTAGCCCTGACCCTGTCATCCCCCCCAGCTTCCCTTTAGGAAGAGTGGAGGGGGCTAAAGCTCCCTAGACTCCCATTCATACTAGGACGTTGCTAGCTGTTTCACTTTGTCACTGTCAGTAGGGCTAGGGGAAAGTGCATACACATAATTAAGGACCAGAGCAATGCCAGGTAAATGTGTTAGTATAGAACTTTAAAACAATACTGAGTACACTTTCATAAGCACTTTGACTCTCCAGACTTTCAAAGCAAAGTCGTTTTAAAGATTTTAAGAAAATCTGTTACTGATTATTAAACATTATACCTAATTTATTTTGCACTAATTATGATTTTGCTTATTTTCTCCATTTTCATGAACAAAGATAGACAAGCCAGCTCTATTTTATACACACAAATAGTGATTTTCCTGTTGTGTTTTGTCTAGACTCTAAGCTCCTTTCAGACAGAAATGGTCTTACTTTTTGCCTTTTACTGGGTTGAATGTCCTATTGCTATGCTTTTATTTCAAGCATTATGTGGCATTTACCAGTTTAGTGTCTGGGTACACTTTTGTTAAAAGCAATAATGCTAGTGAGCTAATACCTCTAAATCTTCCAGTGCATCAAGGCTTTTTAAGGATGGATCAGGAAACAATAGATTATATAGGCAAAGTACAAGACTGTAAACCACTTTAGATAGTAGATGGTCAGATTACTTCCTCAGTTGAATCATATTACCATTTATTTTCAGAAAAATGCTTCCCTATGACGATTGGCCTAATTCTTATCCAGATCTTTCTTAAACCAGTCAGCCTTCTTGCTTACTAGATGTTTTGTTAAATAGTGATAGAAATATAGCCGTGTTAGTCTGGTGCAGCTGAAACAAAAAACAGGACTATGTAGCACTTTAAAGACTAACAACGATACAATTTAAAAAAAATGAACACATGAAAATCAGCAATGGAAAATTAAACACCACTCTCTACAGCAAACCCACTGACTCATACAGTTACTTACATGCCTCCAGCTCCCATCCAGAACATGCCATACGATCCATAGCCAAGCCCTTCGATACAACCGCATCTGCTCTAATCCAACTGACAGAGACCAGAAACTTCAGGATCTCTACCAAACATTTATAAACCTCAACTACCCACCCGGAGAAATAAAAAAGCAAATTGAAAGAGCCAAATGAATACCTAGAAACCATATACTTCAAGACAGACCCAAGAAAACCAACAGTAGAACACCACTTGTCCTCACCTACAGCCCCCAACTTAAACCTGGCCAGCACATTATCAATAAACTACAGCCTATACTGGAACAGGATACTAAACTCCAAGAGGCTCTGGGAGACAGACCCATAGTCTCCTATAGACAACCACCTAACCTCAAGATTATTCTTCCCAACAACCACAGGACATACCACACTAATACCAACCCTGGTACCTTCCCTTGTAACAAACCCCGTTGCCACCTTTGTCCACATAGTCACTCTGCTGATACCATCAATGGACCTAACCAAGTGAGTTATAAGATCAAGAACAGATATTCCTGCACATCCAGAAATATAATTTATGCTATCATGTGCCGAAAGTGTGGCACCATATAAATGTGGTTCCTGGCAGTGCTTGCGGGCAACAGCCACAAAGGCATGCACCTCTACCTAGGGAGCTGGCCACTTCTGGGGCACAGTGTCAGGACAGATACTAAGCCTGCTTTGGCAACTTTGCTGTGGCATTGACTGGGAATGGCTGGAGGTAAACTGGTGTCTTAATACCCTGCTGCAGTCCTGAGCTCCCACACCCAACCTTGACGCCCTCGTCCCTGGCCCTATGCTAGGTCTTGCACCCTCAGCCCAGAAATCCTTCCCACATCCTGAGCTTTTCACACCAGCACTTACAGCCCAGCCACCTGCCTCAATGGACAGCACTTTTCCACACTCCAAATCCCTCAGCCCCACCCCACACCCTACAAGCTACTCAAAAGATAAATTATGTTGGTTCATGGACATCAACAATTTTCTTCAGCTGGGTCATGAGAACAAAAGTTTGAGAACCACTGGACTAGATGATTCCAATGGTTTTTTTCTAGCTTTAAACTCTGGTTAAACAGTAAAAACAGGCAAAGTGTAGCTACACAGCACCCTTAGCTTGAAATAAGCTACACAATTTGTGCTATGCAAATTGCATAGTTTATTTCATAATTTGGTGTTGTCTACATATAGCCACATTTCAAAATAACTTGCAATTCCGAAATATCCCTTAACCCTCGTAGAACAAGGGTTACTGAGATGTCGGAATAAGCCACCTGTTATTTCAAAATAGATTTTGAAATAATGGGCTGCTTCAACAGGCACACAATAGCTATTTCTGCATCTTTCCAGTATCCCAATAGCTCTGCAGTGTAACTGCACCCTTACAGACAAAAAAAGACATTCTTTAAAAAAATGGAAGCCAAATCTTACTGAGGAAAATGGAGTATAAACTCTGGTGAGTCAAGTGTAAAAGTATAATTAGGCCGGCTAAAAAAGAACTTGAAGAGTAAATAGCAAAAGACATAAACTAACAGCAAAACGTGTAAGTAGAGCGGGAGCAGAAATCCTGCTAAACAATCAGTGGTACCCCCTGACAATTTAGGTGCTAAAGGACCACTCACAAAAGACAATGCCATTGTTGAGAAGCTAAATGAATTCTTTGCTTTTATCTTCACTTCCGTTGGTGTAAGGGAAATTCCCACACCTGAGCCATTCCTTTTAGGTGACAAATCTGCGAAACTGCCCAGATTGAGGTGTCAAAAGATCAGCTTTGAGAGCAAATTGATAAAATAAATGGTAATAAGGCACCAACAACAGATGCTGTTCACCCAAGAATTTTAATAGAACTCAAGTACTAAAATTACAGAATTACTATGGTCTGTAACCTATTACTTAAATCAATTCCAGGACTAGATGACTAACGGATAGCTAATGTGAGACCAATTTCTTGTAAAGGCTC